CAAAATCAACTAAACTTATTATTTTATTATCCTTTGAAATTGTTCATCATGATGAGTAGTTATAATCACATTAACATTGTTATAAGTAAATGTAGTATATCACTCATTCCTTTTGTTCTATATTGACATGCAGAAGAGAACGAAGGAAGAAAACATCATACTGAGACTGACATTGTGAAATGTTGAATACTTTCTTAAAAACAACGGCATTTTCTATCGTTCGGTAATAATTCAATCGATAAAATTAAAATATTTTATTATGATGAAGAATTAAACTATCGTAGAAGAGTTGATTTGTTTTATCAAATAATAATCCAAGAAAATTCTGTAAAATCTAAAAGTAAATTGAATATTATACAAATTTATTCTTTCTCTTAATTATCCGAAGGTGTGGGTGTAGGAGTTCTTAATAGATCAATAAGGGACACTCAAATCCACACCCATACCCTCAAGTTTTCATAGAAACTTTTTATTCAAAATCAAAAATAAAGATAATGTTGAATTTTTTCATTTGAAATTGAAATGAATTCAGTTTGTCTTTGAAAAATAAAATAAATCTCATTTATATCAAAAGTCAAATGTGAATTTTGGATCAATGCATAACTTTTAGTATCAACGTTTTATTTTATTTCAATATCTTGTTCATTTTTCTTCCGTAATTTCTATTTTTGCTTTCGTCTAAATAAAAATGTTCATTGATTTCATTTTGTCAAATAAATTTTCAATTCAATTTTTGTTAACATATTTTTTAAAATCGGATCACCAAAATTGGAAAACGGCAAAATTTGTTAATTTATTAAACAAAAATCTTTTCAGCATTTGTCTTAGTCAATAAAATACATTGCTATCCTATTTTTATTATCAAATTTTTCTAAAACATTTCTTTTCTCTTCGATTTTAGACAATTTGATTATTTTCATCAAATAAAAACGTACAAATAGAATTTTCTAAAATACAAAAACTTCTTTCCAAAGAATCTTCAATTCAACTGAAATTAGGAAACATTTTCTTTTCTTTTCTTCTGTAAAATTTAACAAAAAATAACAGAAGATAAACAATTTAACATTAATTTAGTCGAGTTTTTTAATCAAAATTTATTCGATTCCTTTCATTGATTTTCAATAATATAACTTTATTTTTCCTTTTATTTCCTGGTTATTTATTCTATAAAAAATTGGAAACTTAGAATCAAAGTTTCCTTTACTAAATTATTTCAAATTTTGCAATTAGATGATTATAATAATCAGCAACATAAAGATTTCCTTCATCATCAATAGATAAACCTATCGGATAATTCAATTGATTTGATTGACTTCCTTTACCATTTCCACCAACAACAACTTCACCTTCTTCTTTTCCTTCACACCAACGCATTACTCGATGATTCCAACAATCTACCACATATATATCACCCAAATAATCAACAATGACTCCTTTAGGTGAAGACAATTGATTAAGATTTTCTCCAAAACCATTTCCTCCAGCCACAATTGTTCCTTCTTT